GATAGGTTTGGCATCCGGCCGTACGGCGAGTCTGTGGCATATGAGGTTGGGGTCTATGCCAGGCATGTCCTCCGGCCCTCTGGCAAATAGGATTTTGAACTTCCGGAGGATGGCTATGACCCCCTCCTTGATCTCAGGTTCTAGGTCAGCCCCGATGGACACCTTTCTGTCCGAAGGGTCATCCAGTTCCACCTCCACGAGCAGGGCAGCCGGTTCCAGACGAGCGTCGAAGTCAGCCTGCCTGGCTTTCTCAGTGATGCTGTTGACCCGGGCTTCTCACTCTCTGAACCTCTCCATGGCCTTGGTGTAGCAGGCCCTGGCCATGTGCGGATCCGTGCGGGCAACTCCCACTCCTGTCTCGGTGGGGAACTTGATGCATGAGTGCCGCACGGAGCAGATGGCCTCAAGATCCTCCAAGCCGGGGCGACCTAAAATTGCGTTGTGGGCACACTTCAGGCGGACCACGACGAACGTCATCCGGATGCGGGTAGTGTGGGGTCCATCCCCGATCTCCACGGGGAGGCCGATGGTGCCTTCCGCATCGATGCAGTCCCCTGTGAAGCCCGAAAGAGGGGTACGCAGGGGGGTCAGCTCATCCTTCCTCAGCTTCATCCCTTCGAACGCCTCCTAGTATAGGACGTTCACGCTGCTCACAGTGTCAACTAGGACACGTCGGACGATCGCATTGTTGACATCCATGCTGATCACCAGCTCATCCCTGTGAGGGGCCGGTGACATTGGTAGGTCGGCCGGTCCAAAGGTGATGGCCTCTACCTTGTTCTTTTTAGTGGGGGGAGCTGATATGGAGCCCACATAGAGGGACCTCTCAAACTTCTTCCGCTCCGCAGGCGTGTCCCCAGTCTCAGCGCCCCCGAAGATCACCTTGATCTCCAACTTCTTCTTCCCACCGTTCAGGCCGAGGGATCCCTCCGGACGTTTATCAGCACTCCGATAGTCTACGTCCTTCGGTTCCGCCTCACGCCGATCGTCGCGGCGCCATGATCGCGACCTCGGATTTGGCTGCCTCGGGCTATTCTTCTTCAGTAGTTGGGTAAACTCGCCCAGGTAGCCTTGCCGGATCAGCTCGTCGATGGCCATTCTCAGCTGCTTGCAGTTGTCGGTGAGGTGGCCGACCCTCTGGTGGTATTCGCAATATGCGGTCTCATCAAGACCCATAAGTGCCTTCTTGTCTTGGGGCTCCCTTAGGATGCCCTTGTCTTTGATGGCGTCGAAAATCTGGCTGACGGGGTAAGCCAGAGGGACGGGGTACTCATCTGGACGCATGCGGCTGGCCTCCGGATGGGCCTTCCACGGAACCATGCCGCTGTCCGTCTTCTTCTTTTTGTTCGGGGGGGATGGTCCGCCTCCGGGGCCGAGCCTATCCGCCAATTTTCGGGAAGGGGCTGCAGGCGCGCCGTCCCTTAGTCTGATCTCCTCCTCAATGGAGGCGTACTTCTGTGCCCGAGCCAGCACCTCGGTGTAGCTGGTGCTGGGGTTCCTCCGAAGGTCCCGGTATAGGTCCCCCGTTGCCAGGGCACTGGTGAACATGTTTACTCCCAGCCGCTCGTCCAGGTCATCCACCTGGAGCACTTCGTCTCTCCATCTGACCAGGAATTGGGCCAGAGGTTCGTCTTTCCCCTGCTTTACACTGGTGAGCGATGTGAAGCTCTTCTTGGGGGTGGTGCTGGCAGCGAATTGCGCCATGAACTGCTGGGACAGCTGCTCGTAGTTGTCAATAGATCCGGGCCTCAGCTGCCCGAACCATTCCTGCGCTGGTCCCCTCAGGGTACTGAAGAAGAGCCGGCAGATAGCCTCATCGGAGGCTCCCAGCATGGAAAGGTTCCCCTGGAAGCTGATCAAGTGAGCCTTGGGATCCCCGGTCCCGTTGTATACTATCCCTTGGGGGGGGGGGGTCTGCAGTCCCGCGGGATCTCTGCATTCATGACCCTCGGAGTAAATGGTGAGGTGAGGGAGAAGGGCGGCGTAGCTGGGATGGCCTCCGCCCGTCTGTCTATTTCGGCCATTCGCCGTTCCATTGCCTCTAGCCGGGCCTCCTGTGCGGCCCTTCCGGGGGACACAGGAGGGGCGGCCTCGAGCGCAACATTCCTTCGAGGGGCAACCGCGTCGGGTTGCCTCCGGGTGATATGGCCACCATGCCTTTGGAAACGTCGTCCAATATTACTGGCAGCGGGGGTGATGGTGGTGCCCCGATGTTCTGATGGAACGTCCGGCGTGCGCCCCCGATGGTCGTCCTGCCAACCATATCGAGGGGTGCTGGCGCCGGTGTGCCCCCCAGCTTCGTGGGAGGACGGATTGTGTCCCAACCTCATGTGGATGGGCGTCCGGCGCCCGGCAGATTCCGCTGTCTCATCCAGGGATTGCATGCGGTGGATGGGTGATATAGGCGTTTAGATGGTGTTAGCTGAGTACACCTCTTCGTTCGCCTCCTGTTCATCCGCCATTCGGCGCATCATTTCCGCTAGCTCCCTCATGAGTCGAGGGTCGCGTCTGGCCTCATGGGGGATGAGGTTTGTGAGGCCACCTTCTCCCCCAGTTGTCCCCAATGTCTCGGAACGTTCCGTGGTTTGTCCGCGGTTGCTTCGTCCGCGGGACAGCTGCTCGGAGAGGTCACGTTGGCGGTTGTTTCTTGTCATCGTGCTTGCTGTGGGTAGATTTAGTAGCTGTTTGGGAGAGTTTTTTGGAAACTTTTAGTTCAGTTCCCACAGACGGCGCCAGTGTTGAGGTTTATTCCTTCAACCCCCAGGTCCAACACGTAAGCCCAAGGATTTCGAATGGAGTGTGTGAGTAAACTAGCCCAACAAGCAGATGGTATGGATTAGAGAGAACAAGGAAGTAGCAAGTAAGTGATTAGGTATTATTATCTCTTAATAACTCCCTAATACAGTACTCTTTGCTAAGGCTCCGTCGGCCGTTCGTCTTACTAGGCAGTTAGAAGTGCTGCGAGTAAGAATGCTAAAGCTAGAATGCTAAGAATAGAAAGTTGCCAACCCTTTACAATGAAATAAATGCTCCTACTTATACCCACCAATGGGCAGGTGGCTATACTGACGTGGCAGCCTGTGGACCGCTGGTGCCCCAACCACCAAATCTTCAGCATTAAATGCACTTCCCGCCAGAATCTAGGTTTCCCGCCTCGTCAGTGGGGACGTTCGTCCGCCCGGGAAGTGAGTTTGATCGCCCCAAGCGACCCTCAAGAGATACCGGCTGTTCGTCTCCTGTCCTTGATGGATACTCACCATGTGGACTGGGTTCCCTCCGATGACTATAGGCTTGCTCTAGAGACGTTCGTCGTCATCCCTGGTGGCCCGTGGCCCCGCTCCTTGTCCCTGCGCAGCCGTTCGTCGAGATGAGCCGTTGGGCCTGAAACCCCCAACCTCGGACGTTCGTCCCTCCTCAAGGAACATGGGCCTTCGGGCTAGCCTTGTGTTCTAACTGGACGTGCGTCTGGTAAGAAGGGGTTAATGGGCCGGACCTCGGCTTTGGGCCATTAACCCAACACATACCTAAAACTACGTATGAATTCTGACTAAGCCTCCAAACACACACTGCCAAAGGAAAACAAAGGAAGAGATAACTATGATCCTTATATAAGGAAAGGAAATTAATATACTGATGAAAGCTTAATATAAAAGGAACTTAATATCAAAGGAACTTAATAACTAAAAACTACAGCAGCTTGGAATTCTATGGTCAAAAATAGCGGTTGCAGCAGTTTGGATGATCCCACGATTGATTTAATTATTTTAACAATACCTTTGGAGCTCTAAAGAATTGTCTGTTACAAATTATAAAAAAAAAGAACTATAACACCCAGATAGCTTTGTTCTATTTGCACTTTCATCATCACTAGTAATCTCATTTTCATGTATTTATCAATTACTCCGTAATATTTTAGAATAGTCAAAGATAGAACATATGGAGTAGTTGTTACTATACTTACACACTTTGCCCCAAACAATGATATGCAGGAACCTTAAAACTCATTCCATTGTCAATTTGTCAAATAAGGGAGGCATCTTAGAAATCTCGTTCATTCACCAAAGCGGCAAAACTATCAATTAATTGCAAGAAAATTGCAAACACACACTATCATAAACAACCACTTGACATCATCTAGTGTATTGTCCAACAGATATTAAAAAACAACTACATGGAAGTTGCTAAGTAATTATACACGACAAATCAACTCCAGTAGCTCTTAGTAATTATGCCAAGTGGAAATTCCATAACTGATATTACTCTATCAGTCTATCTATGTATTTCAGTAATTATACCAGGATTTGATCAAATTAGTCTGCTAGCTTGTCTTATTTTATTTTTCGAACGAATTCGAAGGGTCACATATGAAAATAATCAATAAATGAAGGGATGCGGTGGCTGTGAACAATCAACTTCCTAAAAATTGACGATTATTCAAAGCTTATTGAAGATTACCTCAAATCCACCTGATTCGTAACAGCGAGCAACACCGAGGTAGAAATCCATCAAAGAGATGGATTCCGATGAACACTGAGTCGGATTAAGCCTATGAGAAGCAGTCGCACCGTTAAGGAAGTGAAGGTTTTTTCGAAGAGATTGAATCGTAGCAGGGAAGAGTAGGCGGTGGATGATTAAGAGGTTTAGGCTTCAGGGGAGAAAAAGGACGAAGAGAGTTTTATGGCGAGATTAGAAGAGATAATACCGAAGTAAGAGAGTCAGAGAGGATGAAAGAGGTTTAAATGTATGTATGTATATAAACGGAGGTCGAAGGAAGAGGTCTAAAACTGAAATAAAAATTCCAAAATTGAAAATAGAAAAGTTAATAATGAAAAGACGAAGTCGTACGGACATAAATGAAATACGGCATATCAAAGTAGTCTGTGTGGGTAATTTCCACTAAAAGATTGGCCACATCAGTAATCTGTTGGCCACCTCAGCGGGTTAGCAGAAGTAATGGGCTGAGGTACCAAATTAGCCCGCGATTGGATAGTTGGTGTACCTTTGGAACTCATTTGCTACATGAGGTACTCTTTAAGCTACAAGCCACGAGTTCAGGTACTGAACTTACACTTTTCTCCATTGTTTATTGGACACATCCCCTTCTTTACTGTCATCCTCACCGAGGCACCAACCCCAGGCACTACCAGTCTCCCCAGCACACCGACGGACTTATACCCTCATCCCCATCTTCACACTCCACATCCAAACACAAACAGGCCAATATTCACATCTTCACCTTCCCGTCCAGTTGTAAAAAGTCTAAAAAGCATTTCATCCCGGTTCACAAATCATCTCCATCACACCGATCTTTCCCCTTCTCCGCCTCTCCATCAGACCGGACACGGTCTCCAATTCCAAGATCTTGATGAGGTTTGTTGTTTAATTTAATATCAATTTCCTTAATTTAACGTTGTTTCTTCTCTTAAATTGGTTTCATTTTTCGTCACTGGTTAATAGATAAATGGAATATATGAAGCTTATAGGGCGTTGTATGATGCTCATTTTTTCATGATTATCTACTTTCACTTCGATCTGTAGGGATTAATCGTTGCTTTGCTTAATATGTCTTCATCTTGGCTGACAGACAACAAACCAATGTATCCAGTTCTTCTTATATGGTTATAATTTTAAATTTTATGGAATTGAAGTAGATAGTATCTATTAGATACAATACAAAGCTGAAAGTATCAATTTCATCCTTTTATCTCTTTCTGCTAAAAATAGTACTACTACGTAACTCACATATCACCCTTTTGTAGTCTAAAATTGTTTGTGGTTGTTAGAAAGCTAGCTTATAAAACAGATTTATTGGCGTTCAAATGGACTCTAAAATTTGCTCAATTTTTTAATAAAGGAAGCACACATGTAGCAACATCCATTTAAGCCACACATTTATAGGTCCAAAGCTACTTAGTTTGTTGCTAAGCAGAATGAGCCAGAATTGGCCACCTAACAATCTGTAAGGTCTCTATACCTTAGCCCAGAAAAAATACATATCTGGTTTATCTACTTAAATGATAACCACATACCATTAAATTCTAAACACGCTTGTTATGTGAAATTGTTACCACACTTGTATGGTAAAATTGTAGATATTAATGATTTTGCCATGTCTATATATGTGAAATCATGTCTTCTGTTGTAAACATCCATTCATTTTGTGTTCATGGTGGGTTATGCATATATCAATATGATGCTTGGTTTTGTTTACTTTGAAGTGTATCGTGCTATGTCTTGCAGCCACTCCATGTAGTGGGTTTTGCCTATATCCTCCTCATGAGAAAGATGGATTATTTATGTGCTCAAGTATTGATTTAAGAACATTTTAAAATGAGGTAAGCTGCCAGATTTCAGCATTATTTCCTTTAATGTCACTTGTTGAGCGAAAATAATAAACGAAGTCCAAATTGTAATTGAAATTTGGATGTTTGCTAAAAAAATATATCTACTTAGTTATAAATATTATATACGGAGTATAAAGATTAGTAATTATAAATATACTTAGAAAGGAAACCTATCCTTTTTTAATTTTCTCTCATATTTTTCAAAGTAAATCCAATCCTTAGTTGTAGTTAATTAATTGGCTGCAAGTAGATGCTCAGATTTGGACACTTTTTAACATTAGTGTTGCAAGTGATTTGCAGGATGAGATAATAATTAATTGAAGCGGGAACAGTTATTCTACAGCCGGTTCCCTTTTTATATATATAAAGATTGTAAGGCTTTTAGCCGGTCATTAGTGCTGAAATTTTTAATCGTTTATTCGGTTATCGGTCGGTTATTTGACTGACCGACCGAATGCTCAGTGGTGCAATCCCTAAAAGTTTAACAATTTATTACTCTCATGTAGATATGACCCATGCATTCTTTTGTCTAGGAGTACATACGGCTGCTTCTAGCCTCAATAGAAGATAGATCTACAAACCATAGACAAGACAAAAGGCCACGCTTGGCAGCGGGAATGATAGCATCAACGGTGAAGAAGCCATTGTTGGGGATCACCGTCCTAGCTTTCTCCATCTTCATAGCCATCATTTTGTTTCCTCCTTTAAATCCCTTTTCTGAGACCCTATTTTCTCCCAGTTCTTTGCTGTAAGTTTTCAACGCATCCCATTCATAATTATTTCTATATCTAGCTCCCCCATTGTTTTCTCCTCTTCAATCTGGTATACATAGATGATAGATCCACTTTATCTTTGCTGAATTTTCGTCAACTCATTTTTTCTGGTAAGTCAGACACGAAAGACCAGAAATATGGAGCACCCGAAGGCTCGTGGGATGGCGGCCTTGCAATTGGTGGATTCAACATAACTTTACTGGTCAGTTAATCAGTTTTTTCTTTCTTTCAAGATTTTACTGAAGCACCACTGTGTTCATTACATAAAATATGCAGCGGTTCTTTATAAATCTGAAAAACGGAATAAAGCAATGTAAAGTTCGAAAATAAGCTTATTACTTTTCCCCCCTTGTAATAGAATTTAGAAATTACTGTCTCCATATTTTGACATTACCCGGCATTAGCAATGTTAATGCCATATTTGAAAGTATTTTCCAAGCGTGACATTAATTACTCTCATTTTGAATTTCTATAAATGAAAAGTTTAACATACCCATTTGAATAAAAATTTTACAGGAGTATTTTTTGTTCTTCTAAAGTTATAGACCTTCACTGGCTTCCAATGCAAAATTTGCATATGGTTTTTGTCTTTGTAGCTCTCCCAGGTGAGACCAACGGTTATATCAGAGTGGATTGTTATGGTGGGCTCAATCAGATGAGGCGTGACGTGAGTTCTCTATTACTTGAATGCAAATGTTATGCTCCTTAATTTGTAATTTACAAATTCTCTTTCTTTATCTTTGTAGGAATTGTAGTGGGTGGGTTATTGCAGGTACCGAACCTGCTTGAGTCCTAATGAGTAGGATATCGGTAGTTAGTATTAGTAGAACTCAGGACATCATGTTGTACTTTAATGCTCTAATACACAATTGGAGAACTAAATATACATTTCATTGTTCCCTCTACACCTAAATAAATCGCTCTCTTTCCTTTTTAGCCCGTCCCAAAAGTATCATTCATTTTCTTTTTCGAACATAATAAATGTGCTTTGTGGTACTCCCTCTAAATAAATTTCAGACACAGTTTTTCATTTTTGACCTTTGTGCTCTATTACTCAGTCAAAATTGGGAGGTTAATTGGAGACGAAGGGAGTAATAAATACAATCTTTAATAGTACTGTAGTCTATAATGATTTTAGTATAAATAAATAATGAGAAAATCACACTTTCACTCCCTCAAATAGCACCCATATTGGAATGTAGGCCCCATGTTTTCAAGTATATTAATGTCACCCCTCAACTGTCCAAATTGTGGTAAATATGGTCCTATAAGGGGTGTCATTTACAATCTGGGTAGGACCACATTTACATGCATCCGGCAATGGAGGAGTGACATTTAGACACTTGTGAACACAGGGACTACATTTCAATAACGACACTATTTGAGGGACTGAAAATGTATAAATAAACACACACATATATCAATGCCTTTGTCTTCAAAGCGAGTTATGGGCTTGTTCGGGTACCTGCTGGGACTGCTAAATGGGGTTTGTGTGAAAATTACATGAATCATGCTTTGCTATACAGTTATGTGATGGAGTTGGCGTAGCTCGTTTACTTAATGCAACTCTTGTTCTGCCCAAGTTTGAAGTCGCTGCATATTGGAATGAATCAAGGTAATTCAGCGCTGGTTGTTGTTTTTTGAACAATATGCTATTGTGTGATTCTAATAGAAGTGTCACCTTTATAGTTGACTTAAAATATAGTTACATTACTGCCTCTATTTCAAAATGTTCTTCCCACTTTCCACTGTTTCAAAAATGTCTTCCAATTTCATTCTAAGGATAGAACTATGCAGATCATGATTGTTCTACTATTCTAATTAAGTCACGTCCACACAATTCCACTATCTAAAAAATTATATAAAAAATAGAGCGTACAGGTGGATTGTGACAAAGGGAGTATTAGCCTATGTGCCGCATTTAGATTGATTAGAGCCTTCATGATTCCCGTGACTTCATCAATGGTGTATTTTCAGGAATCGCTTAGTTATTGCAGAGTAACTCTTTCAATCCCAAAGTCCCAAACATGGGTATCACATCCTCCTATTTTCACGAACTCTATTACTTCCAGAAATAAAAATCAGTCCAAATGAGACCATAAGTTCCAGTATGCACATGCATTGGTATGATAATGATGAAAATGGACCCTTCTTTGAATTCAATTTCTTTATTTTCCAACTAGAAGCAGATGCAAAGCATGACATAACCCATTAATTGTGTGTGTAATCCATGATTTGATAATATAACCAAACCAGGAAAACCTTTGGGCTATGTATGGAACTATAAAGATTGTATTTACCCTGAAAAATACTAAGGAATATCAAATATGATTAAAATTTTTTTATTTTTCAATAAATATCTACTTTTTTAGTATTAACATGACAGATTTGTATAGAAATAGTGAGTTTGGAAAAACCCTAAATTTGATCATTTGACTTGAGCCAATTTTTTAATTTTAACCACACCTCATTTCTTCCAAATTTCCATTCAATTTTCCTCCCAATTTTCTACCTAGCTCTTTCCAAATCACAAATGGACCCTTGATATTTGTTAGATGTAATAGTTCTGATTAGACGAGATATGCCTAATCTGATAAGGGATTTTCATTTTTCACACTCAGTGAATTTTCAGATATATTTGATATCGATTATTTCATCAAACAATTGAACGGATTTGTTAAAGTGGTAAAAGATCTTCCTACAGAGATTGTTTCAAAGGAACCTTTCGGAGTTGATTGCAGAAAACGGAAAGGCCTATTTGACTATGTTGAAAGTGTTCTTCCTTCTCTTTTGGAGCATCGCTATATTGCTATCACACCTGCAATGAGTCAAAGGAGGGATAGGTATCAGTTCCTTTCATAATTGAGATAAGATATGATGTGCTCTGTTGCTATTACTCCTTATTTGCGTGCCCATGTGAATTGTAGTTATGGGTGTGTAGGCGTGGTCGATTTGATGCAGTCTTGTCTATCACGAAAAAGATGCCCTATTTGTGATTTTTCTTCCCTGAATAAGTTCCAGGTTTGGAAATTTTATACAGCATTAACACTGTTTTGGATTTTCCGCAGGAGAGAAAAACAAGAGGGAAATTGGATTTATTTTCCCTTCTTATGATCACTTCTTGTGTTAGGGTACATGAAAATCATTAATTTTATTTGAGTTATATATTTAGGAAGAAAGTACATTTAACAAGCTATTAGTTTACGATTTTGACTGTTATAACACAAACGATGACACAACAAATTTTAAAATAAAAGTAGGATTAAAAGGTAAATTTTATATTAAATGATGACTTTTCCTTCCACTTGGGAGTGAAAGATGATGATGGAAATTAAAGGTTATTTTCATTCTTTCAAAATGCAGTGTAATTGATTAGTCCGTTTATGCCCTTATTCATCTAACTTAAATGACCATTGTCTTTAAGCTTTGCTATAGATTGAGTTTCGTCTAGTCTCTTTCTTAATTAATGTGCATAGCTTAAGTCGGACAGACACACAGGGGAGTATTTGTGGAAATTTGTTTTATGTACTTCTCATTTCATTATTATTATTTATCTTTATTATCTTAGAAAAACAATCAACCTCTCATCTTTTTTAGGTATCCTCTGCATGCAAAAGCTGCATTTTGTCAAGGTTGTTACAATGCCTTACGTCTCGTAGGTTCACTTGAGAAGAAAGCTTCTGATCTTCTACAAACCATCCCAAAACCCTTCTTGTCCCTCCACCTCCGGTTTGAACCAGACATGGTGGCTTACAGCCAATGTGACTATCCAAACCTCTCTCGCTCTTCCACAAAAGCAATAGAGGCTGCCCGAAGTGACAGAAAGCCATGGACAGGAGAATATGCCCGGATTTGGAGAAACCGGGGGAAGTGCCCCCTCACTCCAAATGAAACCGCAGTTATCCTTAAATCCCTTTCTATCCCCAGAAACATAACCATCTATTTGGCGGCCGGTGACGGTTTGATGGAGATTGAAGGGCTTAAATCGGTCTACACGAACGTGGTGACCAAATCAGCTCTTATCAGCAGTGAAGATTTAACAAAGATGCATGGGAACACAAAAGCCGCACTTGATTATTATGTGTCGATTAACAGCGATGCTTATGTGGCTACTTATTTTGGGAACATGGATAAGATGGTGGCGGCGATGAGGGCATTCAAGGGGTTGGATAGGACATTGTTCTTGAACAGGAGGGATTTTTCTATGTTTGTTTCTCAGGGTCTTGTGGGGAAGGAGTTGGAAGATGCCATTTGGAAGGTTCACAGGGATGATTATGTGATGGGGAAGGGATCTGCATTGCCAGACTGCTTCTGTGAAGAAAAACTTTAAACTATATCCTAAAGTTCACTTTTATTTGTTATTTAATTGATTTTGTTTCCAATGAGCATCTTGCTCATTTTCCTTTTAGGTCCAATAGTGTATTTTGTTGACTATTGAAGTTTCTGCAGAAAAGATTCAAAAGGCAAAAAGATTAAAACAGAGAGAGATCATCCAAGTAAAGTGCCAAAAAACTGTGCCACAAACTACTCATGGTTCAGACAAAGCACTGCATAAAACACTGAAGCAAAGGCAGTGACCAGATTCCACTAGGGGTGGACTCTGGCCGGTCCTTGTCATTGTTTAGAGAAGTCCAGGCCCAACCCGGTCATATCCGGTCTGGGCTGGTAATTCCAGATACCGTCCGGTCCGGTCCTGGTTTTAGACCCGGTCCAGTTCTTTTTTTTTTTTTAAATTTTTGCTAAAAAAATTGGTGGTCCGAACTGAATCTGGGACCAGGACCGCCTGGTACGGTCCCAAAATATGTGAACTGGAACTAGGTGCCCCTCTTGGCAGACAGAGCTGGTCCTTGACATGAAACCGGAAAACACAGACCTGGTCCGGTCCCAAACAGTACCGGACCCAGTTCGGGACCGGGATAGATGGCTGGACCGGATCTAGTCTTGGACTCGGGCCGGGTGGCCGGACCCGGCCCGGGACCGGTACTGTGCTGAACCGGCCCAGTGGCCCGGCCAGTGACTGGTCCGGGTAGGCCCGGCCCGGGGGGTTCCCGGTGCGGGCTCGGGTTACCCAAAAGCCGAACTGGCCCGGCCGGTTCTGGGCTTTTAATTCTCCCCCCCCCCCCCCCCCCCCCCCCCCCCAATTTTTTTATCTTTTCGGGTTGGGCTGGGTATTTTGGACTATTTGGGGTGATTTGGGGTGGGGTGGGGGGTGGGGGGGGGGGGGTTAATTACGAAAAGGAAAAAAAATTTGACCTGAGGCCTGGCCCGGACGGGACCCGGTGGCTACCCGGTCCGGTCCCGGGCCTCCTTAAAAAAACCCGAGGCTCGATCGGGCATAGGCCCGGCCCGGGCCCGACCCGGCCTGGGTCCATGACTGACCGGATCCACCCCCTTTGTAATGGGTCACATAGCTTACACCTAATACATTTACATTTCAGAAATCAAAGTTGCCACAAACAATCACAACTACTCACTAATCAGATGTAGTCATTTGGCAGTAACATTTAAGAGTAATTAAAATGCACTGACTTTGATCAGTGTAAACAGTAAAAGTAATGTTCCTGATATAAACACATCTTTTGTTAGAACTACATGTTTTTTAATATCAATCGCAACATTGGTTGAAGTTATCCTTATATCACAGAAGGCAAGTGTTGCTTATCAAATAGGAGCATATGGATCAGAGTAGATAATTGAAAATCCTTATTGAACATTTATACTACGTATATTTTTAAATATTGAGAAATTGATTACTAAAAAATACAGAGGATTTTTTTTGAAATTCTACGTTGAGATAACATTCACCAACAAATGCTTAATTGATTATATTTTATATCGTTATGCTGAAAATGAAATGTGTAGCAATACATTCGTGTTCTTGTGATTTGGGAAACTGGTATATTGTTGCATGTTGTTATCCGAGGATGATGAGCTAGCTTTTGTACAGCTTTTGTACAATACAATGATAGGATGAGGCCAGGCAGTGGCGTATCCAGAAACTTTGGCGAGTGGGGGCAAACTTGACTACAATTTAGTCTCATATTTCACAAATAACAAATCACATTATTAATATTGTTTGATTAAATTTAGTTTATAATATCTATGTACAAGTATGAATAAAAAGAAGATTAATTTATATTACGGATGTGTAAAGATGTAATTGCTGATAAAATGTAATAAATTTACCTAAATATAAGTTGAACAGTCTTAAACATAACAAAATTTAGTGAATTTTTTAGCCTTTCATTCTTTTAATATTAAAGAAAACACTTCTAATCCTATTTTAGATTTTTTTTCTACATTTAACTCTTATTTTGAACAATTTCTTGTAAAAATTTGGACATATATAGGGGTGGGGTTGGGGTTGAGTGGGGGCAGCTGCCCCCGCTGCCCCCATAGTGGATACGCCACTGAGGCCAGGGCTATTTCTCGAAGAATCGATTGAAGGTTGAAGGTGAAGGTTGTTATCTAAAATTGCATGAAGCTCCATAAAACTCGCAGAAAGTGAAATGGTAGCGCAGTGAAGAAAACTCATTAAACTACACAACTGAAAAAATGATTTGAAAATGTAAAACAACATCAAACTGATAAAAGCTTAAATGGAGTAATAGGTCTGTGGAGTATGTCTATTTATATATTATATATAAGAAAAGAAATAGCTCATTCAATTACTATTTTAACCTTAAAAAATCATACGTGTAGTTCAATCCAAAACTTTCTCCTTTGCTATTCTAAGGCCACGTGGCTCTATGATGTTTAAGCTTTTTTTTTACCTCATCATCTTTCAAACAAAAACAACGAACTGTACGGCCGATTTCCATCTTCTCCGCACTCCCAACATTTTTTTCAGCCTAACTTTTCTCACATCTCCCCCAAGCGACATCTTCATACAATCGTGAATGGCGAATTCAACCAAATTTAGACTTCTTTCAAAATCATCTTTTTGCTTCTGTTTTCTTTTTGTTCTGTAATTTTTCTCCACTAATAGCATTAAACATTTCTTTACACACTTGCTGAACACTTATTTGCTTCCGATCATGACACTTTCTTCCTCACTCTAAAGAACCGCACTCAGATTAATTATCTACCCAAGCCTAGAACTTCTCCTCATTTCACCCTACTTATGTAACATCCCTATCTCAAAGAATTATTCCAGGTGAGCCTCCAAGTTCTATCAAAGCCCTTGGAAGCAATCAAGCAAAGATCCGTTTCTGCAATCGTCAAAAAAGGTTTTCAGTTGATTAGTTTTAAAATTCGATGATGAAAAGAGGCTGCTTTATTTACACTTCAACGTATTCTTTACTTATTACATTTACCATTCTAACTTTAATTTCCTCTATTATGGTAACATCACAACATTATTTGCGATTTGAATTTTGTGTCTTATATTTTGCATATATCATGTTTGAAGAAATGCTTAGATGATCTTTCTTTGTAATACACAGCTTCCTTGTGGCTACGACAATGTTCCTTTTTAAGCCTAATGCTTTTGTGTTTTGGATGAACCGTTTCATAACAATTCTTTTAAAATTTATGTGCAGATTTTTGAGTTAAATGGTACTATTTTATTAAACAAACCTATCTTGCTTCACCTTTCATGTAAGTTTAGAGTCATTGCCTCTTCTCTTCATCGAATGTTCTTTCTATTGTTGATGAATTTATTTCTCAATTTTTACATGAGTTTTAGGTGAGCCAAGACATATAAGGTGTTCGATAGATGATCTTTCTTTGTTATACACAGCATCATTGTGGCTACGCCAATGCTCCCTTTTAAGCCTAATGCTTTTGTGTTTTGGATGAACCATTTCATAAAAATTCTTTTAATATTTATGTGCAGATTTTTTAGTTAAATGGTACTATTTTATAAAACAAATGTACCTTGCTTCACCTTTCATGTAAGTTTAGAGTCATTGCCTTTTCTCTTCATCGAATGTTCTTTCTATTGTTGATGAATTTATTTCTCAAATTTTACATGAGTTTTAGGTGAACCAAGACATAAGGTGTTCGATAGATGATCTTTCTTTGTAATACACAGCATCATTGTGTCTACGCCAATGCTCCCTTTTAGGCTTATGCTTTTGTGTTTTGGATGAACCGTTTCATAACAACTATTTTAATATTTATGTGCAGATTTTTTAGTTAAATGGTACTATTTTATTAAACAAACATACCTTGCCTCACCTTTCATGTAAGTTTAGAGTCATTGCCTCTTCTCTTCATCGAATGTTCTTTCTATTGTTGATGAATTTATTTCTCAATTTTTACATGAGTTTTAGTTGAACCAAGACATATAAGGTGTTCGATAGATGATCCTTCTTTGTAATACACAGCATCATTGTGGCTACGCCAATGCTCATTTTTAAGCCTAATGCTATTGTGTTTTGGATGAACCGTTTCATAACAATTCTTTTAATCTTTATGTGCAGATTTTTGAGTTAAATGGTACTATTTTATTAAACAAACGTACCTTGCTTCACCTTTCATGTAAGTTTAGAGTCATTGCCTCTTCTCTTCATCGAATGTTCTTTCTATTGTTGATGAATTTATTTCTCAATTTTTACATGAGTTTTAGGTGAACCAAGACATATAAGGTGTTCGATTAAATGGTTATATGAGAAAGGTGTTATACTACTCAAAATAACACATTCTTTCAAAGCCTGGGATCATAGAAATATTAAAAGCATAAACAACAAATAACCATAAGCCTCCAATTTCCCGAGGCTTGCCTCTCCATTTCCATCCTCTGTGTAAAGGTCCCCACACTTCTCGCTCCTTCCCTCTTTGCAGCATTCATACTCTTTGAAAAAGTATGAAAATCCATCGAGTATTCAAATTGCTACTCATATGTTTACCTTTTATAGCATAAAAATATACTTGGTTCTTAAATTGAGATAAGCAATAAATAAACACTCCAAGTATGATGGGAAATAACATTGCCTCTGAATTTTAAAAACTCCATTTTAGAGAGTGAATAACTAGGGAAAAATTTTAAAGAGGTGTTTATTAGCTAGCACTAGGCTAACTTTATATGTGACTGTTTTGTTATAAAGAAATGGACCCATTCACTAACTCCAAAATTCCACAATGATTTATCAACCCACTAGATTTTAATGATTTAAGGTTTACCTATTCTTATTTCAACTTTAAGACAATTTTCTTTTGATATTTCTAGCTCCAAAATTTGTTCTCTTTTTTGATACATTTCCAATTCCAAACTTTACTTACCTAAATTACTTTGTTTCTATTTTCTGTAGATTTTTCCTTAAAGTCTTTACTCCTCATACCAGGTAACTTAATTTTCTTTTCGGATTTTTTTGTCTTAATATTATTTGGGTTCATGGAAGTCATTTTCTTTCTATTTGTGTTTACACTTCTTTTGATGTCTGTTTTTGTTGAACTCCGAGTTCTACACTTAGCTGTAGGATAGAAAGGTTAAGGGGCATTAGGTTCTTATAAGACATTGCTCCAAATATGAGTAAAACACAAAGAAAAGGCATAACTAGAAAAGGCTAATGCCGGT